TTTGCATGCTACTTTGTTGTTGTATCAATTGTCAGGAGACATTGTAGTTTGTTAATGTTATCCACCCAATTGCAGAGTGGTACAGGGGAGGGGAGGGAATGTAGATAGGTTTAACTGATGTTTAAATGAACCTTTAGCTGCTACACATTTCCTTGTAAAGCAGTTACTAGAATTTGATGTTAGATCAAGATAACAACTTTCTGTGATACACTTGAGTATTCTCATTACCTGTTTGCTGGATAATGTATGGGTATTATAAAGAGAAATTACATGTTAATCACTGCTGGGAGTTAAAGGGTAAGAATAAGGAGATTTTCAGCAATTAAAATGTGTTTACAGTAGGTTGGCTGTAACTGACTGGTGTAAATATTTTTGTACAAGGATTAAGACAAATTGAAACTTTCCATCTACAGGTGTGGGGAGTAATGCATTTAACAAAGAACGTAATAAAAATTGTGGCAAGAGTTGTCAACAGCTGTTACCTGTTAGCTGAAAGGGTAAGTTAAGTTAAAAAAAAATTAATTGACAAATATGGGGCCAGAATGTTTTATGTGTATATACAATGGCAAACCATAATTTCATGACTATTTTCCACACCCCAGAACAAATTGAAAGATCAGCCAGGCTTCTGTCTCAGCTTGCTCGCTTCAGTACTGCATTCAATATTTTACCCTTTAAAATTTAAAACTTTAGGTTAAATGTCTTTTCTTTGTAGAATTCTCCTCTCAAATTACCCCCAGACCAAAGATTATGGCAGATAGATGAGAGTATTTTCTCAGAGGAGTCTTCAATAGGAACAATATCAAGACGTTCTTCACTACAGAGCCTTGAGAACAATGAAAGTGAGCTAAGAACAACTGTGGAGGATTCAAATGGAGTTGTGATGAAGACAGAACTGTAATGTTAAAGCCAGGAGGATGATGCTCAATAATTAAACTCGTATTGTCCAATGAGAAATAGCTCATCAGACAACTATCTTGTTGCCATGAAAACAGATCACGTGCTTAGCAACATCTTCAATGCAACAAGGAGACAGAGTGTTAGATCACATACAAAATATTCCCTCAACAGAAGACAGTTTTTGTTCTTCCCAAATGAGCCTCATTTTTTAAGGGGACTTCCCAGAACAGAAGTGTAACATTTTGTTCTTTTTGAGTAAATATGTATGGCACATACATAGGATGCCCTTTCAGCGATGTCCAATGCATCCCAACTCAAAAGTAAAAACAAAAATGACCATCAAGGCAAATATTTGAAGTAACAGGATTTTTCCCCTTGCAATATTTTAATAAGATAATTTGGTTTTACCAAGTGAAATAATAAGGTAAATTGGCCACCCTAAAGAGTTACTACAGCTGACATTTCAAGCACTGGCCCTGCATCAGAGCAAAAGACTAACACTTGCTTTGACAAAGGGGTAGCACTCAGAATGTCTACTTTTGAAAGTCTCTATGGTGGCCAATCTACATTATCAACTCAGTGGATAAAACCAAATTATTTTGTAATACACCCCACCGCCACAGCACCTCAGTTTCTCTGGAGACTTACCCCCTTAAAATATTTTTAATAAGTAAAGCTTAGTATATTGAGCTTTTGGAGTACAATACTGAGAAATATGTTTATAAATTATCATCCATTAGGTTTGTATTTACTTTCATCTTCAATATCATTTATTTACCTCTTCACTTAATACCTTATTTTTATCCATTACGGTACAGTTAATTTCCTGCTTCAGTTGGTATTAGTAAGTCTTCTCTTTCTCCTGTTGGTCTCAAATTCAATTTAGTCAAAACCCAGATGAACTTGTTAAAATTCAATTTGGTTTTGTCATCTGAGTTGATAATGTGAATTGGCTGCTGTAAAGAGTTTCTAACGCTGATGCTTGAAAGTCAGTTTCAGAGACTCTTTGTGGTGGCCAATTTACATCATCAACTTGGTTGATAAAACTAATTTGAATTATTATACCTCCTGATAATGCAGCACCACAGGTTTTTTAATAAACTTACCCCTTTTGAACATGTTAAAGTTGGGTTTAAATATTTCAGTAATGTACTTACATTTTCATCACAAGAGAAATTCTATACAGTGGCCAATTTTATTTCCAACTCAGCTGATAAACCAATTTAAATTGTTATACCCCCTGATAACCCAGCACCACAGTTTCTTAAGAAACTTACCCCCTTTGAACATGTTGAAGTTGGGTTTATACATTTCAATTTTGTACGTTACATTTTCATCTCTGAAGAACGGTTCAGGACAACTTTGTTGCAATTCACTTAATGAGTAAAACATCTTTTTCATAAGAGTTTGTTTTGAAAAAATAATAAGTTCAAATGCAATTAAGTTTGAAGTTATGATCAAAGTGAGCTAGGAGAGGTTTGCAAGGGGTCTGGCTTTATTAATGATCACTGCTAAACCACTTGCAGGCCTCTCACAGACTTACTTTGCCCAAGACCTTAAACTTACTTGCAGGCGAAGTACTTGTGCTGCAGCACTGATAGCAAGGGCATGCTCATGAGCTAGAAATTTAATGTCAGTTGTAACATTTTGCATATGAGTATGAAGGGACATTGTAACATTGTTGGTGTTATTGTATGCAGTTGTAACATGATTGTCGATCAGTGTTACTGTTCTCAGGAAGTTAACCCCCAGTTTGAAAAAAAAAAAATTCCTGAGCAGTGTGTTGAGTATTTGTGGCATGAAATAAATTTATCAACATTTGCAAATGGCTACAGGATTTCATTATTGTACTGTGAATGACTTGCATAGAAGTGATGTGGAATTTTTCTCCCAGTTTTGAGCACAGAGGAGCTCAGAGAACTAAAGATGGATTAAGCTCACATCAACACATGTCTATTACAGTGTAATTCTTGCAGTTTTCATGATCACTGTCATCACCCCTATAATTACCAGCATCAACCTTGTTATCAACATCAACATCATCATCATTATTGTTATCATTGTTATTCCTGTCATTATCATTATCAATACACAAGGAGGGGTAAACATTGACTGCTTCATGGCTTCATTCTATGCCCCCAAAATACCTGTATTTCTGTCTAAAGTTACTTCAGAGAATACATTAAACAAGCACATTTTTAAATGTTACCAAAGTTTATGTCTCACATTTAATAAAATAGAATGGTACACTTACATTATTACATCTCTCAGTTAATACAAGCACTCAATTGAGTGGCCTGTACTTCACTTTTACACTTGGGACAGAATTCCAAGGGGAGAAAAGCATTGTCCATAACTTACAGTACAGACCTTGAACTTGGTCAATGGGACACATTTACAAGTTATTTGTGGTTATCCTATCTTTCCACAAATTTCAACACAATACATGAAACGAGCTCACAGTTTATACACTTGCGCATCTTATGACTTGTAAATTACCCCAGGCAGAACAGATAACATTTCAAACAACAAGTTGGCTGCTGTTAGAGCTGTTGTCCCAGTTGTGTCATAGGGTGGTGAGACCTAAAAGGAAGAATACCAAAAAAATATGAACATTTTTTTAAGAAAGAGTTCTAAAATTTACTACGAGCCTTTGGGTTTTTTAATGTGGATACAGATAACCTGGTTTCTGTGATCTCAGCTAAACATAGCGACTGTTTCCTTTTAACCCTTTCACTCCCAGATCCCATTAGTAATTCTCCTTACTGTCTGTCATACAATTGTTATAATGTTAGTTCAGAGAATTTAGTATTGGATCAACTAAGTATCCCAAAATTGATGTTTCTCTGTATTCTCATCATTTGTATGGTTGATACTGTATTAACATGGTAAGGAGAAATAATGTCTTGATCACTCATGGGAGCTAAAGGGTAAAAGTTTTGGGTTAGAGTGATTCTTTTTCAGGCAGGCCAATCATAGTAGCCAAGATGAAAAAAATGATTCTTACCTCAACCAAATCACCACCAACAATGTTCAATCCATGGCACCCTCTTACAATCTCTATGCCTTGTATGGAGGTGAGGCCCCCAATTTCTGGGGTTCCTAATAATCAGAAAATACAGTAAAAGTTTGGGTGGCTTGAGTGGCTTTCATGTTCAACTGGTTAAGTATCATCACACTCGTCTGGTATTGCTGAGGGAGTAGGTTCCAATGTCATTAATGTGAAATAATTTTCAGCCTTCTTTTTCTACCTGCTCAAATTCAAATTGAGAGTTTTGTCACAAAGATCATTTCTTAAGTGGGGTGTCTCATTTCTTAAGTAAGATAAGTGTTTCATCTATCAAGACAGGAGTCTGCCTGATATGAATCTAGAATCAGCAAGTTTGTAATATAACTCAAGGGAGAAATATGATGCTCTGATACTGTAAAAAAGCATGCATTTTTTATGTTAAAAATTAATTTTCTTCTCACATTATACAACCAAGCAGTTTTTGCCATTAAACTTGTAAAAGTTCTTACCAGTTCCTGGTGCAAATGCTGGGTCCAAACTGTCAATATCAAAAGATATATAGACTGGGCCACTTCCCATCTGCTGACGAACTTCAGCCATCAGTGGTTCCAAAGACTTGTGCCAACAATCCTTTGCAGACACCAACCGAAAACCCTGCAGGATCAACCAGCTTTTACTCATTAACTCCTAAGAATGACTCACATCTAATTTCTCCTTAAATTACCACCTCTGAATCACTTGTTAAGGTCATGAGAAGAAAGGATATGATCACCAACTAAAGAAGCTTGATTGTTGAACAAATTCTCCTTGTCAGCTCTTTTAAAAATGTACAGAGAACAGTATGGAGAATATACATACTGATGTTAAGGTGTAAAGGGTTAAGCTTCACCCTTTCACTCCCAAGATCGAATTAGTAATTCTCCTTACTATCAGCCATACTATTCTATGATGTTAGTTCAGAGAATTTGGTATTGGATCAACTAATAATCCCATAATTGATATTCTTCTCTATTCTCATCACCTACCTGCTTGATATTGTATTGATATTGTAAGGAGAAATTCTGTCTTGGTCACTTGTGGGAGTGAAAGAGTTAATATAAAGCAAGGTGGACACAAATCTTCTTATGCCTGTTTGTAATACAGGATCAATGTCAGTATCTGAGTGAATGAACCTAAACCCCAACCTAATAACAGTTAACTGCTGACAAATCAGGGTTAATTTTGGGTTTTAGGGGAGGGGTAGGTACACAGTTGCTCAAATACTGACATTGATCCTGTATTTCTTTAACTTCC